AGCTCCCTCCCCTCCCTCCCCTTCCCCCTCCCCCGTCCTTACTGTTCTTCTTCCCTCTCCCCTCCCACTCTCCCTCTCTTCCACTCCATCTGAACCTCTCCCCCTCCTTCCCTTATCTCCCTGTCCATAACCCCTCTCTCCCTGGTCAGCTGCACCCAGCAGTGGAGGTGCGGTCGCAGCTGCAACCGGAGGGTAAGGCGGCGGCCATAGCAGCGCTCAAGGCGGCCCGCGGCGTCACCTGCATGGTGGGAGACGGCATCAACGACGCACCCGCCCTTGCAGCCGCTGATGTCAGCATCGCCATGGGCACCATTTGTTGGTGTAAGGGCCTAATAAACTCAAGCTATTAGGACTTAATCATGTTGGGTGCAAATTTACATTGCACGACATCCTGCCGTCTGTTTGTACGAGTATGCGTGTGCGAATGCATTTGGGTGTGAATGGAATGTTCGTGTGTTTGTTTGCTTTCGCAATTTTCGCTTGATGCATTTGCAGGTACTCGCGCAATGTGCGCTTCGGCACAACATTGTACGCGCTATGAACAGTGCAAGCAGAAAGGACGAGCTCGCAAAGGAACCCAAGATGGAAGCTTTGCAGTTCGGTTGAGTTGGTTGCGCAGATTCAGTTCTATCCAACTCGAAATTGTACTGTTTTGTTTGGTTAACTATAGTGTAGCAGGGAAGGCACTATAGGGGTACAATTTAGGTGAAGGTTGGATGTTGTTTGTCTGTATCTGCATGCTACAAGGCCAGGGGAAACCAGCGGAACCAGCATTTGGCTGGTTAGGCAAAGACAAAACAGGTTCTGTTTTTAGAACCTGAACCTGGTTGTTGTTTTCCCAGGTTGGAAAAACAGAACCAGAGGTTGTTTACCAACCTACCACCTGCTATTTTGTCCAGCCAGGTTGGTTCTGTTGCTTGGAATTATTTGGGATCATCCCTGGTTGTTCCCAGGTTGATTCCCAAGGTCCTTGCTAGCTAGAACTATTTAATCCTTCTCTGTTTGTACCTGAATATAGTCAAATTGATTCAAGCGAATTCCTTCCTCGCTGGAATTTCGTTTCTGCGCTATTCGACGGCGGAATGCTACCCGAGTCAACGCTAGTATGCTAGCACTCCAACGCTAGGCAAACGCTGTCCGAGCCAGAACTTAGTAATGGCAGAACTTTTCGCGAGGCAACTTGGCTCATTTTAAAGCTCTTGGAGCGAGCTTCGATATAGCGAATTCTCAGCTTAATCCGACCGACGGTCTGCACGGCACGCTGCGCGACGTTCAAGGTACTCTTGCTGTTTTGACTAAGTCCTTCTTGATCCCTCTCTCTACAAACTCGGACCCGAGGATAGGGGCTGGTCTTGTACCAGGCACCCAGGGACCCTTGGAGGTGACCCCGAGGAGAGGTTTTAAGTTTGATTAAGTCCTAATAGCTTGAGTTTATTAGGCCCTTACACCAACAGAGGGGAAGGGCCGAGCCTCTGGGGGGGTCGTGATGGGTAGGGTGGAATGCATTGAGGAGAGTGTTGGCAAATGGGATAGTAGGGCTGGTAGCAAACAAGAGTGTTGCGCTGCAAAGTGATGCATGGCAGAGCAGCAGCACCCACACATCACTCGAGTACCCCCTTCATGTCTCTCTAATGGCATCACAGTAGTGGAGATCAGAGCAGGCAGCGCCCCATGCATCCACCCTCATGAGTCACGTCCCTCCAATCCCACGCTGTGCCAGTGGCAGGTGGTGGTGGACGATGTGGCAGTGGACACGCTGCTCGCAGTGCGCCCAGGTGCACTGGTGGCGGTGGATGAGTGGTGCAGATCGGTGCGAGCAGCGTGGATAAGAGCAGCCTGATAGGCGAGTCGCTGCCAGTGTTCAAGAACATGGGCGCGCCTGTACGGGCCGGCACCATCAACACCACAGGCCAGTGCCAGTGCTGCTCCGCTCCCTCAGTAACCCAACTAACCAACCAACCAGCCACCAATTCTCTCTCATTCCACCAACCAACCATCTAACCACACTCAACCACTACCCTTCTCACCGCCTCGTCCATGCGTCTGTCAACCTGCCTCCCAACTGCAACCTAGCACGTGCCCTCTTTCTCTCTCTCTCTCTCTCTCTCTCTCATTTTACCATGCCAGCCATATCTCTTGCTGCCAGTCCTGCCTTGGCCTGTTTAATCAAGTTTGCATGCACCCTGCGTGCACTCCCCTCCTTTCCCACCTGCCCCTGTCGCCCCTCCTGCCTCCGTCCCCAACCCTCGCCCCCGCCAGGCTTCTTCACCATGAGAGCCACGACTTTAGTGGTAGACTTAGCAGTGGCACGCATGGTGGCGCTCATATAGGCAGCGTAGGCCAACCGCTCGCCCTCACAGCGCTTTGTGGAGTCATTCGCACGCGTCTACACGCCCACCGTCGTGCTCTGCGCGCTGCTGCTCGCCCTCGTGCTGCTCACCGTGCCCTCCGCTGACCACCTCTACTTCTTCCGCCTCGCACTGCTGCTGCTCGTCGTCGCCTGCCCCTGTGCTGTCGTGCTCTCCACGCCCGTCACCGCGGTCTTTGGTATTGCTCGTGCCGCAAAGGACGGGGTGCTGGTGCGCACCTCGAGATGCTGGGGCGCGTGCGGGCGGTGGGCGTGGAGAAGACGGGCACGCTCACTCATGGCCGCTTCCACGTGGTGGGCTTTCAACTCATGGACGGCGCAGCCTGCTCCAAGCACGAATGTCTTGCGTGGTGAGGGTCTTGTTGCGGAGGAAAATCGGTGACTCTCATGAACGAGTGCTGGGGTTCGTTCTAGTTGCGTTTCCAAGTGCTTTCATCCCACTCGAGGCCTGGCCCCTCGTATTGTCTCCCCCTTCCCCTCTCTCCTTCCTTGTTTGTGAGCCTGCTTGTGGTCCCACTCACTGTCATCTTGCCAGTGCAGGCTGGCAGGCGCGGAGAGGCAATCCAGCCATCCCATGGCGGCCGCCCTGCTGGCCTACTGCCGCCAGCGTGGAGTAGAGTCCAACGGGCCAATTCTAGCTGCTGCTGCATGCTTCCCTGTGTTGGGTGCAAATTCATATTGCACGACATCCTGCCGTCTGCTTGTACGAGTTTGTGTCTGCGAATGCATTTGGGTGTGAATGGAATGTTCGTGTGCTTGTTTACTTTCGCAATTTTCGCTTGATACAAATGCAGGTACTCGCGCAATGTGCGCTTCGGCACAACATTGTACGCGCTATGAACAGTGCAAGCAGAAAGGACGAGCTCGCAAAGGAACCCAAGATGGAAGCTTTGCGGTTCGGTTGAATTGATTGCGCAGATTCAGTTCTATCCAACTCGAAATTGTACTGTTTTGTTCGGTTGACTATAGTGTAGCAGGGCAGGCACTATAGGGGTACAATTTATGTGAAGTTTAGATGTTGCTTGTCTGTATCTGCATGCTACAGGGCCAGAGGAAATCAGCGGAACCAGCATTTGGCTGGTTGGGCAAAGACAAAACAGGTTCTGTTTTTAGAACCTGAACCTGGTTGTTGTTTTCCCAGGTTGGAAAAACAGAACCAGAGGTTGTTTACCAACCTACCACCTTCTATTTTGTCCAGCCAGGTTGGTTCTGTCGCTTGGAATTATTTGGGATCATCCCTGGTTGTTCCCAGGTTGATTCCCAATGTCCTTACTAGGTAGAACTATATATTCCTTCTCTGTTTGTACCTGAATATAGTCAATTGATTCAAGCGAATTCCTTCCTCGCTGGAATTTCGTTTCTGCGCTATTCGACAGCGGAATGCTACCCGAGTCAACGCTAGTATGCTAGCACTCCAACGCTAGGCAAACGCTGTCCAAGCCATAACTTAGTAATGGCAGAGCTTTTCGCGAGGCAACTTGGAGCGAGCTTCGTTATAGCGAATTCTCAGCTTAATCCGATCGACGGTCTGCACGGCACGCTGCGCAACGTTCAAGGTACTCTCGTTATTTTAGCTAAGTCATTCTTGACTCTTCTCTCTACAAACTCGGACCCGAGGATAGGGGCTGGTCTTGTACCAGGCACCCAGGGACCCTTGGAGGTGACCCCGAGGAGAGGTTTTAAGTTTGATTAAGTCTTAATAGCTTGAGTTTATTAGGCCCTTACACCAACACCCTGCAGCAGCAGGCTGTGCACATGCCCCTTCCACATGCTCCCATGCCGATGCAGGGAGCAGCCGGGGTAGCTTGGGTTGTTGGACCAGCAGCAAGGCATGTTCACAGCAAGGCGTGTGGGAGCAACAGCAAGGTGTGTGGGAGCAACAGCAAGTTGTGTGGAAGCAACAGCAAGTTGTGTGGCAGCAACTGCAAGGCGTGTGGGAGCAATAGCAAGGCGTGTGGGAGCAACAACAAGGGGTGTGGGAATGGTCGTGACACATGTGGCACACGTGCTACTGGCGATGGTGCATGCGGCAAGCCACATGGCACGCGCAATGCGGCTGGTGTCGCATGTGGCATTCTGCATGGGACATCTGAAGACAATGTAGGGACACGTGCAGGCAGTAGCTCAGGCATGGTTGCAGCAAGCCAAGGGTGCTATAAGGCATCTCGATGCCAAGACAGGGGACAAGGCACTCTTGCAGAAACCGAGGCAATCTGTAATAATGATGCAGCTGAAGGGGGGGGTGGACTAGCAGCAGGAGGGACAGAGGGTGGCAGCGAGAGGGGTGGGGCGAGTAGGTTTGAGACAGTAGCATGGGAGGGCATGGAGGCGGTGGTGGGGGGCATGGTGAGACGCGCTTCTCCCTGCCACTCCCAAGCCCTTCCTCTCTTGCAATAATGCGCCCATCCATGGGCTATCTTGGCTTAATACACCACGTGTTGTGTGCCATGGCTTTGCGAGCTCCCCTCCCTGCTGTGCGCTCCAGCCTGACCACTAATGCTCCATCGGCTATCCACCCTTCCCTTGCCTCTTGCTGGCCGGCCTAAGAGTCATGAATTTTCGCTGCGTGTTCAGCCAGCTTAAGGTGGTAACCCGTATAATTCCTCTCCCACCCTCCCGCATCCCACCAGCCATGCCCCCCGCGCTGCTCTCCCACTGGCTCTGCCTCGCAGCCACGGTAGTGTGGCTTGGCGTGGACGGCCACCCCAAGGCAGTGATTGCCGCGGCTTACTCGCTTCGGGCTGAAGCTGCGGAGGCGGTTGGGCATCTGGTGCGGGCGCCGCCACTGCAGTGCAGCAGCAGGTGCAGAAGAGGGGGAGTTAGTTTGAGGGGAGAAAAGGGGTGAAAGAGGAAAAAAGGTGAGGGTGGTGTTGGGTTTGAGGCTTTGGGCTCAAGGAAGAGAAACTGGGATACGGTTGGGGGGTTGAAAAGGGGGGGATGAGATGGGAATGAACGGGAAGGACTTGCATTAGAAGATATGTGACTGGATGAAGATGTATTGCTGGGACATGCTGACTGGAAGAAGGAAAACAGACGGCTGGGCATGTCAGCCTTCTTCCACATGTCATTTGTGTTCCCATCTTCCACATCTTCCAAGCTTCCTCCCCTCCCTCCCCTTCCCCCTCCCCCGTCCTTACTGTTCTTCTTCCCTCTCCCCTCCCACTCTCCCTCTCTTCCACTCCATCTGAACCTCTCCCCCTCCTTCCCTTATCTCCCTGTCCATAACCCCTCTCTCCCTGGTCAGCTGCACCCAGCAGTGGAGGTGCGGTCGCAGCTGCAACCGGAGGGTAAGGCGGCGGCCATAGCAGCGCTCAAGGCGGCCCGCGGCGTCACCTGCATGGTGGGAGACGGCATCAACGACGCACCCGCCCTTGCAGCCGCTGATGTCAGCATCGCCATGGGCACCATTTGTTGGTGTAAGGGCCTAATAAACTCAAGCTATTAGGACTTAATCATGTTGGGTGCAAATTTACATTGCACGACATCCTGCCGTCTGTTTGTACGAGTATGCGTGTGCGAATGCATTTGGGTGTGAATGGAATGTTCGTGTGCTTGTTTGCTTTCGCAATTTTCGCTTGATGCATTTGCAGGTACTCGCGCAATGTGCGCTTCGGCACAACATTGTACGCGCTATGAACAGTGCAAGCAGAAAGGACGAGCTCGCAAAGGAACCCAAGATGGAAGCTTTGCAGTTCGGTTGAGTTGGTTGCGCAGATTCAGTTCTATCCAACTCGAAATTGTACTGTTTTGTTTGGTTAACTATAGTGTAGCAGGGAAGGCACTATAGGGGTACAATTTAGGTGAAGGTTGGATGTTTTTTGTCTGTATCTGCATGCTACAAGGCCAGGGGAAACCAGCGGAACCAGCATTTGGCTGGTTAGGCAAAGACAAAACAGGTTCTGTTTTTAGAACCTGAACCTGGTTGTTGTTTTCCCAGGTTGGAAAAACAGAACCAGAGGTTGTTTACCAACCTACCACCTGCTATTTTGTCCAGCCAGGTTGGTTCTGTTGCTTGGAATTATTTGGGATCATCCCTGGTTGTTCCCAGGTTGATTCCCAAGGTCCTTGCTAGCTAGAACTATTTAATCCTTCTCTGTTTGTACCTGAATATAGTCAAATTGATTCAAGCGAATTCCTTCCTCGCTGGAATTTCGTTTCTGCGCTATTCGACGGCGGAATGCTACCCGAGTCAACGCTAGTATGCTAGCACTCCAACGCTAGGCAAACGCTGTCCGAGCCAGAACTTAGTAATGGCAGAACTTTTCGCGAGGCAACTTGGCTCATTTTAAAGCTCTTGGAGCGAGCTTCGATATAGCGAATTCTCAGCTTAATCCGACCGACGGTCTGCACGGCACGCTGCGCGACGTTCAAGGTACTCTTGCTGTTTTGACTAAGTCCTTCTTGATCCCTCTCTCTACAAACTCGGACCCGAGGATAGGGGCTGGTCTTGTACCAGGCACCCAGGGACCCTTGGAGGTGACCCCGAGGAGAGGTTTTAAGTTTGATTAAGTCCTAATAGCTTGAGTTTATTAGGCCCTTACACCAACAAGCTGGTATCAGAGCTGCGTTATAGTGATCCTCGTTATAGGTAGCTATGGCGGGCAACACCTCGGCGGGAGCTGGTGAATCTTCAGCCCAAGATCGTAGCGGCAGCCAAGATTCTGGTCTTTCAGCGCCAAGGGGAGCGCGAACAAACCAGGGCTCGCTTGTCAAGGAGGTGCTGAAGAATTTCACCGTCGAGAAGTTCAATGGTGAGGGCTATGATGATTGGGCCTGGAAAATGCAATTATATTTCCGTCAGATCGGTTTGCTGAAACTAATGATTGGGGAGGAGCCTAGACCGAGTGACCCCACGCTGCAGGAAGATTGGGACGAGCGCTCCTCGGCTGGCTACTATTTGATGTCGCAGAGTTTGGAGCTGAACCAGCGTCACCACGTCATGCACCTGCTGCCGGAGGTTGAATGCGGTCCGAAGGCGTGGACCGTGTTGAAGGAGCTGCACGCCCCGACCTCCGTTGTCGCAACGTTGATGCTGGAGAGGGAGCTGTCCGCGTTGCGCCTGAGCGAGGGAGAGCCGGTGCAACCAGTCCTGGACAAGATGCGCGACCTCTACGCGAAGTTGGCGACCGCGGGAATCACCTACCCGGAGCAGACCAAGTGCTTGAAGATGCTCTCGCTGCTGCCGGAATCGTGGCTTCAATTTACGAGCGGATTGAGCCTGCCGCAGAACCAGAGCTTGTGGACGCTCGAGTGGGTGCGGACGAAGATTCTGGAGGAGGACTTCCATCGCCGCCAACTGAGGGGTGGAGACGACGGCAGCAGCAGCTACGGGATGCAAGGGAGCCGACGTGGCAGAGGACGTGGCTTTGGTGGTGCTGGACGCGGTGCAAAGAAAGACGACGACTCCAACGACCAACAAGGAGGTACCGGTTGGGGTCGCGGTGCGAAATCTGGACGTGGGGGCAAGTCGGGTGCTGGTGGCAAAATGAAAGGGAGTTGCTGGTATTGTGAGAAGGAAGGGCACCCCTGGTTTTTGTGCTATAAGAAACCCGATGGATGGACCCCCCAGAATCGTCACCAGGATGGCGGCGCGCGGAGGAACCAGAAAAACGGCGCCAACATGGTCGCTGATTCGTCCGACAACAACCCGAAGGGCAACGGCGGTGCGGAGAAGAAGAAGGAGCGCACCGCGGGCCAATTCTTCCATGTGGGAGACAAGGGGGAGCAAGGAGACGCCTCTGCCAAAGTTGGAGCAGAGCTGCACCCCCTAGACTATTGGGTGTTGGACACAGGCGCTGCTTGGACGATGACGCCGCGCAAGGACCTGCTGGACGAAGTACGAGCTGCACCGATCAATGAAGTGTGCTCCGCCTCTGGACACATGTTGAAGGTGGCTGGTGCGGGACGAGCTGCGTTTAAGGGAGCGGATGGCAAGCCGGTGGTGCTGCACGACGTTCTCTTCGTCCCCGACCTGAAGGCCAACCTTATCTCCCTCCGTAAGCTTGGCAAGGCTGGGGTGAACACCAACACGGATGGGGCACGCACTTATAAGGGGAAGCTGGGCAATCGGGTGCTTTGGGATCTGCACGAGAGCAAGGACGTGTACAGATCTATGTGGCAGCTGCCGGCCCTGGCGTGGCATGGTGGGGGGCAGGCTGGAGAGGGGTCTGCATCCCAGGGGGAGTGCAATGCCGTTGGAGGGGTTGGTGTGAAAGTGTCGGCCAGATCTGGGGAGACAGATTGGGCAACGGCACACCGGCGCTTAGGGCATGTGGCAATGCCTTTGCTGAAGCAGCTGGAGAAGGATGGAGCCGTTAAGGGTCTGAAGCTGAACGGACAGCCACCCGATGACAATTGTGAAATCTGTTTGCTTTCAAAGTTCACCCGTTTCCCTTTCCATAGTGTGGCTGGCAGGAGCAAGAAGCCTTTGGAGCTGGTCCACATGGACTTGGTGGGGCCGCTGCCGGTGCAAGGGCACAAGGGGGAGCGGTATTTTCTTACAATTGTGGATGACTGGAGCAGGCTGATGTGGGCGTATCCGCTGAAGCAGAAGGACCACGCCGCCTCCACGATACGGGACGATTGGCTGCCATTCGTGGAGAAGCAGGCGGAGTGTGTAGTGAAGCGGATTAGGACAGACCGGGGTGGTGAGTTCCTTGGAGCTGAAATGACGGCCTGGCTCAAGAAGCAGGGCATCCAGAGAGAGCTGACCACGGCTTATACCCCACAGTCCAATGGTGTAGCAGAACGGGCAAACCGGACCATTCTGGAGACAGCTAGGGCGCTGCTCATAGAATATGGGCTGAGCAATTCTATGTGGCCTCATGCTGTCCGGCACGCCACTGTCGCTAGGAACAGGGTGCTCACCAAGGTTGGGGATGACTCGTGGGTGCCGTTGGAGAGGTGGCTTGGGAGGAAGCCGCCGGTGGACATGCTGAGGGTGTTCGGTTGCATGGCAGTCGCCCACGTCCCCAAGACCTACCGCAGTAAGTTGGGGGCGAGTGCAATCTGGTGTGTGCATTTGGGGCTGGCTGCTGAGAGCAAGGGATGGCTGCTGTGGGAACCATCCAAGGGTGTGTTGTTTGACAGCAGGGATGTGAAATTCATTGAGGGCATGATGTATGGGAGCTGGGAGAAACAGCCGGAGGCAAGGGTGTCCCAGCAGATGGAGCAGATCACCATGCAGCTGGACCTGACTCCTAGTGTGTGGGAGGAGGGAGAGGAGGCAGCTGCTGGAAATGGTGATGGAGAGAAGATACAGGAGGCATCTGCTGGTGGAGAAAATGGTGTGGAAACTGGCGGCAGCACTAGTGGAGCTGCTGGACCCGAGGGAGGAGAGAAGCAGCAGGGAAAAACTAAGAAGCCGAAGGGTGTCGTTATGAAGGGATGGGAGACACCCGTCTCCAGGCCAGGACGTACCCGTATGGCTACTAAGAAGCTGACTGCAGGAACTGATGCAGCAGAGCAGCAGCTAGGGACCGAAGAGGCATTGCTGATTCTACCTCATGGCTATGACCCGGATGAGGAGGATGAGCCTGCGTACTGTTTTCTTGCCCCTGCACCAGAGGAACCAGCTAGCATGGAGGAGGCATTAGCTGGACCAGATAGGGACAAGTGGCTGGCTTCTAGGGATGCTGAGTACCAGAGTCTGCTGGAGAATAGGACATGGGATCTGGTGGTGCTGCCTGATGGGAAGAAAGCGATACAATGCAAGTGGGTGCTGAGGATCAAGACCGATGACAAGGGGCAGGTCACCATCTACAAGAGTAGGCTGGTGGCGAAGGGGTTTATGCAGAAGGAGAAGCAGGACTTCAACGAGATCTTTGCTCCCACTGCCAAACCCCCTACCCTCCGTGTCTTGTTGGCAGATGCAGCTGTTAGTGGGAAATTCATCATTCAGATGGATATTTCAACGGCATTCCTGAATGGGATTTTAGAGGAGGATGTGTACATGACGCAGCCGCCTGGGTATGAGGATGGTACGGGCAGGGTGTGCAAGCTCAACAAGTCCATCTACGGCTTGAAGCAGGCGCCACGCTGCTGGTACCAGAAGTTGGCAGCTGTTTTAGAGGAGATGGGATTCAGGACCAGCAGCTGTGATGAGAGCCTCTTTCTCAAGGGTGAGGGGGAGAAGCTGGTGCTGTTTCTGGTCTATGTGGACGACATTCTTCTCTTCAGCAGCAGCATGAAGGAGATCCAGAAAGTGCAGCAGCAACTGATGGAAAACTTCAAGTGCAAGAACCTTGGGGAGGTAAAGTACTACCTCGGGATGCACGTGGAGAGGGATCCAGATCACAGGTGGTTGAAGCTGCACCAGGAGAAGTTCATCAAGGAGCTGGGGGAGAAGTATGGGATTGAGAATGAGCGCAAGGTTGCAACTCCCCTGCCAGCAGAATTCAAGCTTGTGAAGGCTGCAGAGGATGAAGGGGTTGAAGCTGAAGAGCA